TGACTATAATTTATAGTATGCAAATTCATTACTTCTTTGTGAAGTTTTGACATCTTCGCTCATGTCACATATTTGCAAACTAAGTATGTGTTGCATTAAAAAGATCAGAACAAAGAAACTAGAGTAAAAGCTTTTCAAGCTTATGTTTTCACAAAACAAGAAAACAACTATGTATGGGCTGCTTGTAATATATGACTGCTGGAGTCAATTTTAACACCACTAGATCTTCACACTTTCTTCAAAATGTTACAATCTTACTGTCTCATAAAGAATTATCCATACTTTAACATTATTATTAACACCAACAAGTAACAAAATTACCTTAAATTGTGATAATGCCTAATAAAATTTTGATAACTAAAATATAATAATAATCCAATAAATATCCATCAATAAATACAGTTATTTATTCTAGACCCATAGAAAACAAAAGGCCTAATAAGAAATAAAAAGAAAGTATTCAATTTTATGCTCATTATAATTAAATCCCTTCAGATAATGTGAAATAGGAAGAAAAGGGGCAAATGTGAAGGGGAAATAGTAGGGGTAGGGGAAAGAAAAGAAGGGAATGGAATACGAGAAAATGTAAAAATAGAAACAGATGCCTGCTCCCGACTGAGCTGCCATCACTCAAGCGCCAGGAGGTAGCCAGGGCCCCGATCCACCGCAGGAAGGAGAGACACGCCTGCTCCTGACCCAGCTGCCATCGCTCAAGCACCGGGAAGGTAGCCGCCCCTGAACCCCCATAAGCCCCCCACCGGACTCTCAGACTTCCTGGCTGTGCCAGTCTTTGGACTCACTCTGCAGAGGCAAAGGTGGTCATCAAGGCTATTTTTCTGAGTTCCCAACTTTGAACATCTTTAAAGAAAGAGCATGGGAAACTTGTAATAGAATGTGTGGAGTTCAACCATTCAGAAGGTTGGGGAAATCAATCTGGGCCTTGCAGCCCGAGGTCAGTCAGCATCATGGGGTTCAGCCATCAGCTAAAAGAGACCAGGGGACTTGCATCCTTGCTCTGTCTGAGCCATTAAATGGTAAACACACTATATTGAAATTTTGTTCACTGCAGACATGTTCTGGACTGCTTCTTGATTTTAATTTAATGCAAATGATTTAAGGGTGATAGACTAGTGACTACCACAGGTGGTCAGTGTCCAAGTTGTGCTTGATCTTAATGTGTTGTTGATTGTATCAGTTGGGATAAAGCATTGCGGTTGATTTGATGAGCTGATTCTCTGATGTTATGAAGATGAAAATGTCTGTGGGTCGTTAGAGACCCAGAAGCGAGGGCACAAATATATCAGGAAGATTTAGGTGATAACCCAGAGATTAAACCAAGGACAGTCTGACAACAAAAATAAAAATGAGCAAACAGTTAAGCAAGACACAAGGACAGACTTCCAGATCACCAAGTGCAAACAGTAGAGCAAATGAGGATGAAAACGCCGATAGTGAACCACCAGGACACCCTGAACTAGAAGCACAGGAAGTAACAAAACAGATCAATCAGGCTCTAGAAAAATTCAAAATAGAAATAATTTCCCAGATAACTATAGCGATAGTGAACAAAATGGAAGTCGCAATTTGAGACTCTAGAGCAGAAAATGACAAAAAAATAGATGAGCTCAGGACCATGATAGAAGCCATGAAGGCCCAGCATAAGAAGGAAATGGAAACAATAAACGACCAACATAGGAAAGAAATGGAATCCATAAAACAGATTCAAACAGATATCCAGGAGATTAACACTCCATTGAAAGTGTACGCAACAGAATAAAAGAATGCGAAGATAGATTCTCAGATATAGAAGATAAGATTGCAGTCAGTGACCATGAAAAGAGAAGTCTCTTAAAAACAGTAAGGGATCGTGAGAAATCGATCCAACAACTCCTAGATGATGCAAAGAAGAATAACATAAGACTGATAGGAATACATGAAGTAGCAGGAGAAAATACAAATGACTTAAAAAAGCTGTTTGCAGAATTAATGACAAAAAACTTCCCAAACAGGGGAAGAATTTGACATTCAGATAACTGAGGCATATAGGACCCCAACTAGCTACAATCAAAAAAAATCTATATCTAGACATATAATAATCAAGATCTCACAAACCCAACAGAAGAACAAAATACTACAAGCAGTAAGAGAAAAGAAACAAATCACATGCAAAGGAAAGCCCATCAGAATTACAGCAGACTTTTCAACACAAACCCTTGGGGCAAGGAGAGCCTGGAATGAGATATTTCAAGTACTAAAAGAGAACAACCTCCAACCTAGACTGATGTATCCTGCAAAGCTCTCTTTCAAAATGCATGGGGAAATAAGACACTTTCACGACAAAGAACACCTGAGAAACTACATGCATACCAAACCAGCACTACAAGCAATTCTAAACAAGATCCTAGAAAAAGACAATGAAGGCAACAACACCATGAGGTCCAACAGAGCAAATCAAATAGGCAAGGCAAAAAATTAAAAGGAGAAGGTGAAAAGTAAAAAGAGTCAACAAAAGGCCAATAACATGTCAATAATAAGTCAGTACATATCAGTTACAACCAGCAATGTCAATGGCCTCAATTAACCAATCAAGAGAAATAGACTGACAGAATGGAATAAGAAGCAAAATCCAACAATATGTTATATACAAGAAACACACCTAGTGCAAAAAGAAGCCCATAGACTGAAAGTGAAAAGATAGAAAACAATTCTCCATGCGACAGGAGCCCAGAAAAAAACAGGGGTAGCAATCTTATTTGCAGACATAGGAAATTTCAAACCAAAACTGATTCTAGTATTACTGATGTAGGACAGTACTGTATCATCCCTCTATGAATGTAAAATATCTTATACCTTCTTTATGATACATAGTAGGGACCGTGCTTTATCAAAGCTACATTTAATGATATTACTCTAGAATGTTCTTTCCAGATGATATTTAAGATGCTAATAAAAAAAAAATGGTGCCAGGTACCACAACAGCAACAGAACTTTGCTGTTTTCTGGATATTATTCTTTTCTTTGTCTTTTTTTGTTTGTTTGTTTGTTTGTTTGTTTTTGCTTTGTTTTTTTTAATGGAATGTGCTGAATGTCTATAATTTTCTTCAGATGACTGCAGAACCTGGAAAAGCTGTTGCTTCTATCGATGCATAACATACTGCTATTATTAGTCTTTTTATATAAATATGAATATATATACATATATATATATAAATTGAATTTTGGGAAACTTTAACAGTGCTGCCAATTTTGGAAAAAGTCATCCCAATTTAATGTGTTGAGTTGGCCTTGTACAGAAATGGACAACCATATTGGTCTAGAAATGTTAATTTTTTTATTTTTTTTTCCATGTATACAGGGGTAACACATCATACTAAATATGTAAGGTCATATCTACGTGGGTTTGATTACAGAAACTAATAAAGTATTCTCTAAATAATGAAAAAAAAGAATAAGATAAGACTATAAGAGCGAGAAGCAATTTAAATATGTTCAGGGACCATTTTCATCTCCAGAATTAAGGATTATTTTAATGTTACATCATTGCCTTTTCTCTTTTACTTTCCTTTTTAGTTTTATTTTAGGATTCCCTATTTTTAATGTTCATACAGAGATTTCTTTAACTGAAATACTGAATAGTTTCTTTGGTGTGAAAAACTATAATAGTACACAGGATCCTAATGAGATAATTAATAATGTGAAATAGGAAATAAAGGGCTAAAGGTGTAGGGAAAGTGGGAAGGGTTGGGGAAAGGTAATAAGGGAGAAGAAAAAAAATATGAGAAACTGAAAAAATAGAAATAAAGTGTTTGTAAATGGGGAGGGGACGGGGGGTGAAGGGAGGGCAGGGACAAGGGGAAAAAAATGAGAATCAAGACCTATTATGTAAAGGTACAGAATCCCAATGATGAATGTAACTGTATTGTATACCTAGATTGTACCAATAAACTCAATAAAAAGAAAACAAACAAAAAATAAATAAATAAAAATAGAAACAAAGTCTTTGTAGATAGAAGGGTGGAAGGGTTAAAGGGAGGGAAGGGGAATGGGGAAAAAAATAAGAATTATGTAAAGGTGTAAAGGATTATGTAAAGGTGCAAATTTCCAACAATGAATGTCATTATATTGTATACCTTAAATGTACCAATAAAATTAATTTTAAAAAATTAAATCCTGCTGGAGATTTAGCTCAATAGTTCCACCAACTGCATTGCAAACACAAAGGTCCTGAGTTCAATACCCAGTACCCAAAAACAAAAAACTAAATCCTTTCACATAAAACTATATTTCAAAAAAATTACCAGTTTTTTAAATTCTTCATGTTTGATCATAGCACTTCCTTGTTCTTAAAGCTTTATTTTGATAACTTTATAAGAAAATATAATAACAAGAATAGCAAATAATAATGATTCACTCAAAAATATTTCTCCATATTAATGCATTGAATAGGCTGGAAGATAATTCAGTATTTTTTTTCTTTTTTTTTTTCGTTTTTTTCAGCTTTAATTGAGTTTATTGGTACATTTTAGGGACACAGTACAGCTATATTCATCGCTGTATTTTAAGGGTTTTTAAAAACACTGTAAGAAAAATATTACAATCTGTTCAAAGAAAATAACTTTCATCTCTGTAATACAAGTACTTTTCTGTTCAAATATTCCTATACTTCCATACGTTTAATGTAAAGAAACAATAATGAACATCTAATAGTTTTGATCACTTACTATGTACCAGGAACAGCTAAGTGCATTACACTTATACTAATCCTCACACCAACTATAACACTATTTTATTTAAAGGGTTCCAAAGCAAGTAGGATAAAGCAATTTACCTAAAACCACACAGATGAAATTCAAACCCAGACAGTCTGGTGCCATATCTGACTTGTGAATCACTATACTATGTGATGTATAAAGTACCTGTAGTATTTAGTACAATTACTGACACCCAGTAGGTACTAACTAAAAATGCAACTCATCATAATATTTCTCTTCTTTACTTACTTTGTGATAATTCTGGGTTTCCTTTCAGATTCATCATCTTTGGAACTGATGGACCATACACATCGGCATCTAACAGACCAATGGCCTTTGACTATAAGAAAACAGAATTCACCATAAGACAATTCCCATTCTTCACTAAAGATTAAATGCACAGTAATAAGACTAACTACTGAAAAGAAAATTTGTAAAATATTTCAATATCATAACCCAAAATTTCAAAACAACAGTAAATATACCATAAATTGTTTCTGGTAATTATTTTTTGATCTACTAATATATTCCAGATAAGTGACCCCAAAAAAATCCATCTTTTTAAAGCTAATAATCTAATGTTCTCAAGGAACATTCCTTGAGAAATTTAATAAACAAGAGAATATAGTATAGTTAAAAGAGAATTAAATTTAAAAAAAAGAAAGTAGCTATGCACAAAAGCAAAAAATATATATAAATAAATAAGTTTAAATTTGAAAAAAAAAAACCACAATCAAGTTCACTATGAACAACAAGATTTCAAATGAGGGGCCTAAAATAAGATTTCAAATGAGGTTAACAGTTAAGACTACAATCTAAGGTTCTACTAATGCTATTAATTGTCTTCCTATAATTTCAATTGTTTTCTGTGATTCCTACAAGGATTATAAACTACCACAAAATAGTAAGAAACACTAATAAAAACAAAAAACATAACATCCTTTTTTCCTTCTCTTATTGATATCAATTTTGGCTTTGCAGTAACTTGAAGGGCTTCGGTTCCAAGTTTTAAATTGGTCTTCTAATAAAGACTGTCAAGCAAAATAATTTAGCCTTTCATGTCTGCACAAAACAAGAACATAACCAAGAGTTCTGACTTAAAGACAACTGCTAGGGTCAGCTTCAATATGATTAGATCTGCAATCAAATTTCCTTCAAAATCTTATGGAGAATGTATCTACCTTGCCATCTAGGGGAAAAATAAAAATTAACAAAATAGTCCCTCCTGAAGATGAATCCTTAGCACCATGGCCCAAGAAAAAAGATCTGAACTAACATTTGTGGTGGTAGGACTGGATTCTATATGTACTACCCAGATGGTTGCCAATATACATTACAACACATAAATAAAAGGAAAGAGGGAGATTGCAAGGAAGCTTTGGAGTTCCTCTACTTCCCAGAGTTCTTATCTTCTATGTATTGAAATATCTGCCTACTCTCTCTATAAGTAGTTATTCAGAGTTAATAAATACCTGTAGTACCAATGATTATACATATCAAAAAAAGAAACAGAAGAAAGGAAAGTTGAAGATGGGGAGTAGGGCAGGAGAATAAGGGATAAATGCAGGAAAGGGAGAAAGACAGAAAGGATGAAGGGAAATTAATCAGCAATTATTTATATTTCTCATTTAGTCCTTACAGCAAGGTAATAGTATCCATACATATGGATAAGAAAGCTGGAAAACAACACTTAAAATAATCATGTTTTGCCTCTTTTTATATATTCTTTCTTAGAAAGGGAAATAAAATGAAAATACTAACCTCATAAACTTCCTCCAGAACTTTAACAATCTAATTATGAAAGCCTTAAATATAAAGAGTAATATTTTTTTCTTGAAGGGCCTACTAATAAAGATTTTAAACTTTGCAGATCTCAATGGCAACTACTCAACACTAAAACTGTAACATCAAAGTAGCCATAAACAGTACATAAATGAGCCAGGGAATAATGGAACATGGTTTTAATCTCAGCACTCTGGGAGGCTAAGCCAGGAGGATCACAAGTTCAAGTTCAGCCTAGACAATTTAAAGACTTAGCAAAGTCATAGTTCGCTGATGTCCAATTTAGAGAATAACTTTTTTCATTACCAACTTACTCAAACATCCAACAATGTAATTTTGGTAGAGCCAAGAGTGGACAAAACATAATTACACTATCTTTTTCAATGTCAGAGGAACTGTCTCAGTAAAAATTTACTTTCTCATTCTTAATTTTTCATTAATTCATAATTAATTCTCATGGCTAATTTTTAAAAATAATAAAGGGAAGAGTTTTCAGACTATATTCCCGGAACTAAGTTAACATATCTTGCTTAGATTTTATATACCATGAATAAAATGATCATACAAAGCCTACACTACCTAAATAACAATAAATGCAGAATTGGCAAAGCTATTGGACTAGTACAATTATCACTACTTTAAAATAAATTTAAATGGATTTTCAAGTCTAGAATTCAGGCACATTCAAATTTACGAAATATGGGCTGGGGATTTAGCTCAGTGACACGGCACCTGCCTCACAAGTGCAAGGTCCTGAGTTCGATTCCCCAATACCAAAAAAATAATAATAATAATAATACCAAATACACTTCATTTGTTCTTCATAATTTACTCTATTATTTTAAATAGGCCACTATCTTAAAATTATAAATAGTCTTTCAATTTAAACTACCAAATCATTTTATGCTAGAGGAAAATAAATGAGTGAAGTAGATTATAAATAAATGCATGAAGCTCACTGTTTACCTAGTTAAATTTTATGAATTCTTTCCTCCTCACTCCTCCCATAATAATTATATTTAGTCAAGAAAGTTCTAATTAGGATTTTCTTTATCTTTAATTTCAGCCAGGTTCAAAATAATAATTACCACAAAAGCCTTACAGATACACAATAGATAAAATAAAAGTATTAGCAAAGCTAACTGTAAACTTACTCTTAAAAAATACAACTGTCATTTTTACTGTCACCATAAACTTCACCAAATATGTTATCATCTAACAACATACTCTTTTTCTGATTCTCCCAGTATTCAAAACATAGTAGACAACATACAAAAAAGATGAAACCCAAGATCCCATTTAGATTTTTGGATTTCTTTATTAATTTATAATACCTGTGAAAGCTATAAAAGGTGGCAGAATTATTTAGAGTGATTGTATTATTTCATTACATCAGCATGAAAGCTGCAATTTGAGAGCCTACAAGTCTTATTTTGTGTGTGTTAGATTTCAAAGGCACCAACAATAATTTTTATACAGCTTTGTTCTTCAAACAAAGAATTTATTATAAAGAAGACTATCACAGTCTTGAGCTCATCTATTTTTTTCTCAGTTTCTGCTCTAGAGTCTCGAATCATGACTTCTATTTTGCTCATCATCTCTCTGGCTAGCTGGGAAATTATTTCTGATTTGAATTTTTCTAGAGCCTGATTGATCAATTTTGTTACCTCCTGTGCTATGGGTCCAGGGAGTCCTGTTGGTTCACTATCAGACTTTTCATCCTCATTTGTCCTACTATTTGCTATTGGTGAACTGGATATTTGTTTTTGTGTCTTGCTTAAGTGTTTTCTCATTTTTATTTTTATTGTTGGGTTGTCCTTCTTTAATTTCTGGGTATTACTTAAATCTTCCTAATATAGTTGCGTTTTAGCTTTTGAGTATCTTATGACTCATAGACATTCTCGTTTTCATAATATCAGAGAAAACAACTCTTTAAATCAATCACCACTCTTTGTCCCAACATTTCTCATACAAAGAAGTGAAAGCAGCAAGAAAATATATGAAAAAATGTTCCACATCACTGGTCATTCGAGAGATGCAGATGAAAACAACACTGAGATTCCACCTCACCCCACAAAGAATGGCTGCTATCAAGAAATCACACAATAACAAATGCTGGCGGGGTTGTGGGGAGAAAGGAACCCTCCTCCATTGTTGGTGGGAGTGCAGACTAGTGCAACCACTATGGAAATCAATATGGAGATACCTCAAAGAGCTTGGACTGGAGGTTCCATTTGACCCAGCCATCCCTCTGTTGGGTATCTTTCCCAGAGAACTAAAAGAATCATATCACAGAGAAGTATGTGCACCCATGTTTATAGCGGCACAGTTTGTAATAGCTAAATCTTGGAAACAACCTATTTGCCCATCCGTTGGAAACTGGATAAAGAAGATGTGGTTTTTCTATAAAATGGAATATTACTCAGCCATAAAGAGCGAGAGAATAGATTCATTCATAGGAAAATGGATACATATTGAAGATATACTCCTAAGTGAAATAAATAAGTCCCACATGTGTAAATACCAAATAGTTTCCCTGGTGTGAATATTCTGCAACAATGCATAAGATTCTAATAAGCTTACTGACATTTAGAAATGGGAGGAAAGGAGCTAAAGGTGTAGGGAAGGTGTGATACGTAGGGGAAGAACAAAAAGGGAAAAGAAAAAAATGTGAGAGAATGAAAAGATGAAAATAAAGTGTTTGTAGATGGGGAGGGGAGGAGGGGGTGAAGGGAGGGCAGAGGTAAGGGGAAAAAAATGAGAATCAAGACTTGCCATGTAAAGGTACATGATCCCAACAATGAATGTAACTGTACTGTATCCCTAAATGTACCAATAAACTCAATAAAAAAAATAAAAAAAAAAAAAAAAAGAAGACTAAAGTTTCATGACATGCTATTTTTTCCTGCCATCTGCTAATAGAACCCATCAAAACAGGTTAGAGCATTCCCACCAAATTATTTCTAAATAAATATACCTTTAAGACCTACCTAAAGGGTGTCCTTTCCATAAGAGTACACAGCTAAGACTCCTATGAGTTGCTGCACATTATATTAATTTAATCTTTGACTCACAATTGGTATTTATTCAATTTAGAGTTGATATGTCTCTTTTTCCTTCTCTTTCTGACTGTCAAGCTGTCATTCATAAGAATTTCAGTCCTTTCATTGAGAAAAACATATTTCCTAATTCTATCAGCTAAGATTAAATAAGAATCTGATCAGCAGAAGACCTAACCACTGAACAAAACATAAGAGAATAATTTCTACTGTTTACCAAACAACTGTCTGTATCTTCAAGTTCAGTTAGGAGAGAGGAAAAGGGCAACATAAAAGAAAAAATTCACCTAGTTGGTTGGACCATGAACTCATGAAAAGTACAGAATATCAAATGGTAAATTAATTGTCTGCAAAAGAACTGAAAAAGTAGAAGCAGAAAAAAGATTCCAAATTAAAGATTTGATTTTTAAAGCAAAAAGAAACCTACTTTTAGTCTTCTGTCCATTTAGGGATGAAGAAACTCCAGATATAAAGCCACAGCTGGGCCCAGGGTCCAACT